ATTGGACTCTAACAACCTGGATGGTGGAAACGAAAAAATTTTATATAATGAAGCTGCCGATAGGTTACGAGAATTAGGCTCTGAGTGGTGGGATATACAATTGGTATGCATCCTTCCTATACATTACTTATACAGAAATGACAATTTCACTGATTTATGATTCCATTGTTTGTGAAGGATAAACAAAAATCGCTATTTAAAAAGGATTTAGATGAAATGGGAGGTGTACAACAATCTGCAAACGATGAAAGGTTTGAAATCTGTCAACGTACCATGAATAAGATAGTGGACAAAATGAATTACTTGTCCAAGATATTGAAGGTTCGCGCTTTTTTATGTAAAGTATTGAGTTTATTCTTTCGTTTGTATATTCATCACATTTACATTTTATATCCAGGGGATTTTATTGCCCACAGAATACTATTCGATATTGGGCATACTTGTAGATGAGGTACTAACGATTATGATCGAAAATCTGGAAGATTTATACGACATCTCTGCTGAAGAATCAAATCAATTGAACCTTATTTATTCCAGGTTATTGATTTTAGAGAATATATTCAATAAAAATAAGGTGAATTTAATTTTTTTATTACACCTTATATCCTCTTCATGATTAAAACTCACATGTTTTAATATTTGCTTTTATAAATTTATCGCAGCCAAATACAATTGAGAATCATGCCAAGAGCTGGAACAAATTCCGCCAGATTACAGACATTCTTGTGCTTTCTTTTGCTGAAATCATGAACAGATTTCGCGCTTCCGAGCTTGAATGTTTTACAACTAAAGAGTTGGAGGGTCTTATATGTGCATTGTTTGCAGATACTGAACTGAGAGAACGAAATTTGCAAGAAATCAATGATGGGCATCCCCATCGGGGGAATCGATAATGCTAAATTATGTTGCTATCTTCCTATTCTGAGTAAGGGTTGAACTGTTGATTATAAATGCTAACTTGCATTGGGATTTTGGAATCTTTATAGACATGTCGATTAAAAACATGAAACTTCAATAGAACCTGACATTTGACTATCATTTAATACTTGTAAATTATATTGAAAATAATAAACTTTTATATGATAAATAATATTTTAAAAGATAAAAACTAGTGATAAATATCAAATAAAGGTATTTCAACATTATTAATTTTAGATTATCAGAAATTTTAATTATTTTAATAATAATTGTTACTTTTATTATTTTTTTATTTTTAATCTTTGATATTGTTTTTTTTTAAAAGTATATACTGTATATATACTGTATATACAGTGTGTGACAAAAAAAATTGAAAATTTTATTTCTTATGTAAATTTATGATGATTGTGTTACATCACATATCACATGAATTATATGTCATTTTGTAGCCAAAAATGGTAATTTTTTTTGTTACTAAGTTTCAGTATTTGATTTATTCATTCTTACTTTTAATAATTAATTTACAATGTCAAGGTATTAATTTTACTCTTGAAATAGAATTTTATTCTTTGATTATAAATTGTTTTAACTCATTAAAATTTTTTGACATCTATTTTTTTACATTTTGTTTGACTATTGCCCATAAATTTTTGATAGGGTTCAAATCAGAATTACATTATGGCTAATTGATAACTTTTGAAATATTTTTTACAAAAAATTTTTTTATTACTTTGCTTGTATATTTAGAATTATTATCTTACTGAAAGTACCAATAATTCCCAAGTATTTCTTTAATCTTTTCAAGTTTATTTTACAAAATTTCAATATAATATGAATCATCTATTATACTTGGAAACAAAATAAACTTGTTTTTCTTTTTACTAAAAATCCATTCCAAGCAAATAATAATTTTTGATTTTTTAATATAAGAGAAACTGAATATTCATCCTTGTATCAATGTTTCAATATGTTACAAAACAATTGGAATGCTGTTTAATCACTAAATAATATGTTTTTTCAATTATCCTTTAAATAATATTTCATATATTCAATTTTTTTTATATATATATTTGTTAACATTGGTATAATTAATGCCACTTGTTTTTTATAAAAAAGAGCTTTTAAATACTAGCCAATTGTATAGTAAGACATTTTAGTATTTTTTTTTTTAATTTTGTTGCTAGAGTTTATAAAGAAATAATATTATTTTTTCAAATATACTAATTAATTGTCTTGAATAAGTTATTAATAATTTTTTTACATGACTATTTCTATCTTTATAATCTATTGTTTCAGCTTTCTGAATTTTTTTAATGTTGTAATATATTCTTAAAAAGAAGAGCTTGATAAGTTTATATAATTCTAATATAAAACATATATACTAGTTTTAGAAATATATATATTATTAATATAAAAAAAAAAGTTTTTATTTTTT